GACAGTGTGCTTCAAAACCATCTTTGCTACCCACCCAGCAGTCAAATTCACCAATTGTTTCAACCCAGTTGCAGCAGCAATCACTAGATCTTTCATTCAATCCTTTCCTGCTATCTTCACATTTGGCTCAACCCGGTGCCCCTTTCTGGCTGCCTCAACGGCCAGCTTACCCTTTTTCTGGTTTGAATCCATCTGCTACTTTTCAGCCATTCACTCCCATCAGAACCATAAATGCTGGTTGGCAAGCTTTGGATAGAGGAGAAAATTCAGCAAGAAATCAAACCCAATTTCCTAGTTTCTGCTACCATGTTGGTTACACTTTTCCGGGCTTCCCAGGTAAGTTACAAGTCTCAGTCTATCAGTAATGCAGCTTTCTCTTTTGGTGTGTACAATCAATTGGTGTTTGGTATCTTGCTGCAATCTTGTACCTCCCTAGCTTACTTATTGGATGTGTTTTAATTATGCAATGATGGGTCTATGTTTTTACTTGTATAGCATAGAATGAATTTAGAATTAGAATTACATCTTTACTCAAAGCTCTGTTCTATTTGTTTGTAATTTTTTTTAATTTTATGGACTTGAAATCTAAACAAAATTCAACTTAAATCTTCTGAGTGATTGTTCATTGTTGGAAAATGTTTATACTTTTTGGGTCATACATGTTTTGCATTACAGGTTCCTGGGATCCATCATACTGTTGGGCTCAAAATCAACGATTACAACCTTCTTGCACCACCTTGCCAGGCCCTTATGGATACTTTTCTTCACCTCTTCTTTCACCAATTCCCAGTTGCTCTCCACAGGTTCAGTCCTCTCAAAAAGGGATTATTAGGCCAACAACGAAGCTTTCTCAGAAACACCAACATCTATGGGAAGCTCAAGTATGAATTTCTTAACTAATTTTGTTATTTTCCTATGATTTGATAATCCCTATCAATGGTGATAAAAGGGAAAAAACAATGGTTTGTTTATGGTGCTGATGAGGTTGCAGTCAGCTGAGAATGTTCAGCTATGGAATTTCATCAACCAATTGCAGTCAGAAGTAGCTGATTACAAGAACCGCTTGACGAAACTTGAAGAAGAAATTTCATGTCTGAAACCAAGAGTTGAGGAGCTCGCTGCTGATCATCAGGCCACTGCCACTGGTTTATCAGCACAACCATCAAAAAGAAGGAGACCAAAGAGATCTCTTGCTTCTGCTGATGTGCATCCTCCTTTTGAGTCTTATCTCCGAGCTCGTGGTCGAAGGCCTGCATCATCTAAGCTTCAATCAGAGGCTAGAACACTTGCTTTTGAGAAGGTGAGGTTGAACAAGGTAGAGGATAAAGAGAAAAGATATCATCCTGTAGGGACTTTGCCACAACAAAATAATTGGATACGCCAAGATATAGCAAGAAACTTCAATGATAACATGGACAAGAACAGAGCCAATCTGATCATGTCTGCATTCAGCAATCAAATACATCATGGAATTTCCGGAATCCAAACAAGTGGAATTGGGCTTGAAGAGGAAACCAAGGCTGAGATTTCAAAACCTTCTGTCTCAATTCTGTCCCAACAAGTTGGAAATGGCAATAACTCAGCTACTTATATGGGAACAACAAGTAATGGAAGTCATGGAATATGGCCTTCTAGCACCCATTCTGAAGAAGGTCAGAGAAATACATTGTATATTAACTCTCAGGCTTTCTCTGACAGTGGCAGCACTATCAGACAAGGAGAAAGAAAAGCAAATTCGGGTTGGAGTTTTGTGAATGAGGAGGAAGCTTCGGAGGAGCTGGAGGCTATTGCAGTTGGGTCCAGTAAGGAGGAAAATGAAGAGGAAATGGGAGACGATGGCAGCTCATCGGCTGACGAAATGGGTCAGCAGGAAGCTGGGAATGCTTACAACATGGATGGTGCAATGGAAAACAGTCGTAAAGGGTTGCCTCAGTTTAATAACTGGTGACCAAAACAGTGCGGCTAACTTAAAATTGCAGTGTCAGTTTCTGTTTTTTGTTGACATAGGATGGCTCCTGCTCAGTTGGACCAACTTTTGTTGAAAGGCAAACACCAAATTTTGCCCAGTGAGCGAATTTTGTTTTGTTTTGTTTTGTCTTCTTTCTTTTCTTATCAGAGGAAGCAAAGACAAATCAAATTATGTTCGTCATGATCCATGAAGATATCACTAGAGGTCAAAAGACTCTAGTCTCACTATCAAAGAAGATGAGAAATAAATTTTTGTGGGAATTGAATTTTCATCGTCAAAGAATTCAAAGAAGTGACTGAAATCTATATATATGTATATATATATATATATTAATTGGCTATTTAAAAAGAATTCTTCAAAAAACTTAAAGAGATGGGCCATCAAATTGACGGTCAAATTATGAAATTTTAGTCCAAATACATATCTAAAAGTCTCGGTAATACAATTAATCACCCTTTTGAAAAATGTTCTTAATTGTGGGTCCTCATGTCACAAAATCAAGAAAAAAAAAAACAAAACTTTAATATATTAAATAAGACTCTTTAATATTTATATATAATTGTAAATATTATTTTTAAATCATAATTTATTATTTACATAATTTTATACACGTCCTTTTTACCTTATTATTTTATATTATCACGATTGTATAATTGATATTCGATACACAATTAATTATTAAAAACAAATAAAATTAATAGATATAATTACCCAATAAAAATTATTATTTTAAAAAATAATAACTTACTCGTTAAAATAATTTATGTACTTATAACTTTGATCTCCATTGTTGATACTCCTTTTTTTTTTTTTTTTTTTTTTTACAGATAATAATCTTTTACTCATTTAATTTATGGAAAATTATTTTAAAAATTGAAAAATAATTTATATATTTTTAAATAAATAATAATAATTTATCTATTAAAAAAAAAGGGGATGAACCCATGTTTTCTGTGATGTGTTTAACATCATTTTCATTATCATTGAAATTATTAGAAAGTGTGTCACCTTATGATCAGACCATTTATTATTATTTTATAATATGATTAAATATTTTATAATAAAAAATTATTAAACATAAACCTTGATCTTCATCGCTTATGAGGATCTTATACACACCCATATTATATGTATATTATATAAGTATATAGTTGATTGGATAATTATCCATGTCGTTGTTCTGATTTTCTTCTATGTTGAAAATAATTTCAAATGTTTAATTTGGTTTCACTCCTGCACTTAATTATTATCAGAAATTACCATGTCTTTAATTCGGGTTGGTTTATTATTAACTAATATTATGTATTTTTTATAACATTCGAACCCGAAAATTTAGTCCGAGATAATTTTATATTAATAAAATAATATATTAAAGTAATTTAATTTTTTTATTTTATTTCATTTCATTTTTATGAAATTTTTTTATAAAAAATGAATTTATGGACGAAATTAAAAATAATTTTGAGAAAATATGTGAAACTATGAATAATGAGGGGTATTTTTGAAAGAAAAATTTAAACCAGAGGGTGAAATCGCAAAAATGAGAAATACAACCACATGTGACGGCCACGTCGGCAGCACCAGTGAGTAAGAACTCACCGTGTAGCAAACACGCTGACATCGGTTCCACGTGGGAAGCCACACGGGCGATCTGCGCACCGGCGAATCCAATGGCTTAGATCGCATTACACGTGTACGGATGCTTTAGATGCGTTTTCTCTTCAGACGCGCTCGGATATATGAGATTGATCGTGATGGATAGCCCAAATTCACACACGTGATCGGTCTAAATAGGCAACAATTGGACGATTCTCCTTGCTCCATGTCTTCGTCCAAGATAAGAGGAAAGAGATGTATTTAAACCTCTCTTTAGTTGGCTACAAAATCCTACCCGACAACCCTAACCGGAGAAAAAGAAGGAGGGCAGTTGGAGGGAAGACCATCTGCCGGAGAGACAACGTCACCGCCGCATCGGAGCCACTGCTGATGCTGAAAGAGGTAAAAAAAATTTCCTTCCACTTGGAATTGAATTCCAAGCCTCTCCACACCCATACCAGAGCAAAAAGGCAGCGGGTGAGCTAAAAAATACGAGCGGAGCTCGGCAGAGCCGCCACGAGTGCAGTCCAAAAACCTCTCCAGTGACCCTCTTTTCGTTTCTCGTTCCCCTCGATTTTTCGACCATTTTGTTTCTCATTCTTTTCTAGTGCAGGTTAGCCGAAGGAAAACTCTAACTACGAAGGAGGAACAGCGGAGCCACCACACCCGGAGACCCTTCCACCAGTAGGGTTTTGATTTTTTCATTTTTCGGTCAATAGAGGCCCCCTAACTTAGTTGTTCGCATATTTTCATGCAAAACTGGCCGAAACTGGCTTAAGCCAGCCAAAAATGGTCGAACATAGAAGAACTGCCGCTGTGGGCGGTGAAGCCGGTGCTAAAGCACGGCAGTGCTACCGTGCCGGAATCCTAAATTGGCCAAAAAAGTTTTAAAACACATATTTTGAATTTTTAGGGTATTTTTGGATACATGACGCGTATTTTTAATTTTTGAAGAAAAAATTTAAGAAATTCGAGGACTGCCACGAAATGCAGTAAAAAGTACAGTATTTCGAACACCGATGCAGGATAAGAATCTCTTACTATTTTTTTCATAATGGTAAATTAAAGTTTAATAATCAATATCATTGTGTTTTGTGAAAAATATAAATACTCTAAAAATTATTACAGAGCACCAGTGGAGTTGGAACCAGTCAGTATATAGTTTATCTGTGTTGTCCATTTGTTTTTATATTGTCTTAATTGTTTACTGTTGTATCAGGTGCTTTAATTTATTGATTCTAATTGCCTTTTCAATTATTAATTTACGTAACCGTTATATCCCTGTTTATTAATTGATCTATGATAAATGTCTTAATCATGTTTTCTTGATTTACATGTTGTCTATTTGCATGATTTACTGTTGATTGATAAAAAAATGAAATATTGGTAAGTGATTGGTGATTGGTTGACGATATAGATCTATGTATCAAAGGCTTACTAGGTATCCTAGAAAATGATGGACGGACTCGGTACATAGGAAAAATCCTATTGTGGATATTAGCTCAGTTGAACGGAACTGAGAAGTCTCATACCGGAAGGAGTTGGGAGGTATAGTTCACTCTCATACCGGACGAAGTATTGAGGCAGTGACATGTTTGGCGCCCATTATTAAACGAGATATGGGGACGACAGATTGATTAATAAATTAAATATAGGATTCACGTGTAGGAAAATATCTCTATGGACTCCAGGGGTACCGGTAAACAGGTAAGTTTGTTGTTATTACATATTTGAATATGAAATCACAATGTTGTTAAAATTATTGTCTTCATAGGTCGATTTGAAAACTCATAAGGGTAAATATGACATAATATTTTTTGAGTTAAATAAATTTATAAAGAAGTAATGACTCTCTTTGTTGTTTTATGATTTTTTACCAACTTTTGATTTTTCGTATCGGTGTTAAGTGTAATATTTTTACTAAATTAGTGTAGCTCATTCCTCTATTTAATCATTTCATATTAAAAAGAACAAGATCCGATCCTGAACAGTAGAAGTGTTGTGAATAAATGTTACCTCCCAGACCCCATCATATTTGCCCAAAAGAGATTAACCCTATTAGACATTTATTTCGTTTTGTTTTAGTTATTTATTCCGTTATTTTGAATTTATATAAAGAGATATTTTTGTAACTTTATTGAGAATATTGATTTATTGTATAAGAAATGTAAATCTTAAATTCTAAATTGCTTTTACTTATAGTTGATATAATTCAATATTTCCATTTCTTTCAATCTTGGGCCTTTATATTTTTAATTATGACTATACAAATTTAATTTTTTGATATTATTAAATTATACATTCAATTAAAATTATGGTTAATATTAAAATGACCATTAAAATATTATTTTTTCCTCAAACAAATATTTACCTTCCATAAATTAAAAAAAAAAAATCTATAGTCAGAAATTTTTCGATTTTAACTAACAAATTTCAGGTTTCTCATATTAATATAAAATATAACATATATGGCTCATTGGATATATGGGATCTACCGGATTAACACATGCCATATTAGAAATAAATGTTTTAAAAAGTTATACAAATTAATTTTGATAATTTAAATAAAAATTGTTAATTAATTACCTGCTATATTAATTTATGTATTTTTATAAAAAAAATTATTTACATTTATATAATCCCAAAAAAATCAGACAATTTCTTTTTCAGGATAAAAATAAATAAATTAAACAAGTACGCACATTGTCAACGAGGCTAACACGTGCCGTGAAACTTTTCTAGCTACACTCCTACACGTGCCTCATTCCTCTCTCCCTTAAGTAAACCCATTCTGCCACCCATGAAAGACGTTAACTCATCCTCACTCTTCATTCAACTACAGACTCTTCGTCTTCATCCTTGATTCCCTTTTGTATCTCAACCCAATTGGCAAGAACGTTCATTTCAATGGCTCCACCGCCAAGCACAGATACACCGAATTTTCACATGCCTTCAGGGAGACCGCCGAGGCCCAAACCATTTGTATGCTTTTCTTTCGCAGCGTACGCGAAAACCCTCGTCGACCGACTCGTGTCCTTCAATATCCCTGTTTTACCAGGCCTTACGGACGAAGAGATCGCCGCCATTGAAGCTTCTTTCGAGTTCGCTTTCCCTCCCGATCTCCGCTCAATTCTCCAGGTGGGCCTCCCCGTGGGGCCCCACTTCCCCAATTGGCGGTCGTCTTCTCCGCAGCAGATTCGCATCCTCCTCAGTCTTCCCGTCCTCAATATTTCCAAGAACATATCCCGCCACAGCTTCTGGTCTGATTCTTGGGGGCCGAAACCCCGAAACGACGATGGTGGTCTGTCGTTTGTTGAACCACTACTGCGAAACGCACCGGTTCTTGTCCCCATTTACAGGAACTGTTACATCCCTTCGACAACGCCGAATTTAGCGGGGAACCCAGTGTTTTACGTCGACGGGGAGAGCGTTCGGGTCTTGAGCTTTGACGTCGCCGGGTTCTTTCAGCAGTTCGAGCTGTTCTTGGAGGCGGGCGGTGGTCTCGAGAGCTACGAGTTGATCACTTTGATCGGGAGTGAATTCAAGAAGCCGGCTTGTGCGCCGGCTTGGGCGGCGAAAGCGGCGCGCCGAATCGATTTCTGGTCCGACACGGCGGAGAGGGGGAGGCGAATTGTGGAGCGTGGGGACACGCGAGGATGGTGGTGCAGCGAGGAGGGATACCGTTTGGGGTTGAGCGCGTGTTTGGAGGAAGTGTTTTGGAGGCTGAGAGACGGAGGTTGGACTGAAGAGGAGGTGAGAGAGATGATGACGGTAATGGACGGCTGTGATCGGGAGGGTAGAGATAGTGCGGTATGCCAGCTCGTAGGTGATAATCTTATTACGGAGGAGGACTTGACGTGGCACGTAAGAGTTCTGTCTCTGGTGTTATTACGTGCGGGGTGGACCAAAGAAGATGTGGTGTACTCTCTTGATCTTGATGATGAAATCGACGGTGATGAGAGCGCTGGTTTAGAGTTCCATCACCAAAACTTAAGCAGCAGATGTTCAACCCGGGAGGATGATCATCACCATGAAAAAAGCAGCATCAAGCCGTTGATGCACCTGCTTTCTCTTGAGACATGAATCGCACCGTTGGATCTAATAAGAGTTTCTTACCGTATTTTCCGCGAGTACAGATTGACATTCAATTAATTATTTGTAAATGCAAATTTTTTTCCGGGGGGCTTAATAAGGATAGATATGGGTATAATCATCTAGAGCTAAATTCTAATATGAGGCAAGATCATGGCCGTGTATCTAGATTCTTGGCTTTATACAGCTAGTGATCATATGATAATCTGGTCTAACAATTTAGTATACCAAATTGACGGTCCTGATTAATGCTCATTTACATGTCATATCGCTACGCGCTTTGGGGACTTTCCAAGCACCAGCCAAGAACAAAATTTCACATGGAAATTGAATGGATTTGGTTGTCATGATGTTGCATTGCAACAGCTTCTTTGTGTGATTTTTCCTACTATGCCAATTTCATACGGGTATTTTGAAATTATTATTTTTTAATATACCAAAAAATAGTGTATATTTATACCGTATTTTAAGCTAATGTACTTTTTTTCCTAGCCTCATAAAATTGGTCTTACTTGAGACTTCTTCTAATGCGAGAAAAAAGTATTTTTTTTTTAAAAGAAAATAATTGATGTAAAGATTAAAAAATTATGACCAAATTCTATAATTTCAAAATAAATATTTCTATAATTTCTTTTCAACATGTTGTTGAAGAAAATTTTAATTATTAGTTTTTGGTTTGAAGTAAAAAAATTAAGTTAAGGATGATGTAGCGAAGGGAGTGTGAATAAGTCAAAGGCTGGGCGGGCATAGGCATTTTGACATGGACGTGGGCCATTATGGGAAGCCGGTCAAGAGGGTTTGGTATGAATGTAATGTGGGTGAGATTAAATGCGGTCAAATCCACCCCGTGAAACGGTGCTCGTTTGCTCACAAAGCCATGTCCATGTCAATCAACATTTTAGTTTCTTTGAAATTTTCTGCACATATAAGACAATGTTTTAACCGGATCTTCTATTGTTTTTTTTTTTTTAAAAAAAAAAGAATTATTTTGGGTATAATTATAAATATTTAATTTATTGGAAATTTTATGGCTTTGTTACCAATAAAAATTAATTTAAGTGATTAAAATATGAAAAATTATATACTTGATCATTATGATTATAAAATAACGATGACATAATTATTGATTTGCATGGTATTGAAAGTTAATGATTAATCAATAATAGTTTGGTTTAGATTAATGTTTGCTCATTTGCATTATGCAAAAATTACAATTCTTGAGAATCAAAAAGCTTTAAGAATATGAATGAAAATTTGATCTTAGTGATACCATAAATAATTTTAAAAAGTACGAGTTCTGTAACAATCCGGAAAACTCTAAATGTGATAAATTATAAATTTAGTGCAGAAGTGAAATACTAAATTAGACTTTACATTCATTACATAATAACTGAAAGTACCAAATGGGAGTTACTGTAATAACTCTTCTAAAAAAATAACTAATAACTAAATAAATAAATTAAGAGTAAACAAACTGAATGTCTTATTCGTAATCCTCTTGTGGATCGGACTCTGAATCCTAATCTTCTTGATCTGAAATGGTTAATGAAAGAGTGAGTTACACTAGCCCAGTAAGAATATCACGCTACTCACCGACACAGAAATGAAGGTTGGTGAAAATCATAAAAATAATTAATGAAGCTCTTAATTTAAATAAATTCATTTGTCATAAATTAATCATTTACCACATATTTACCGTAACGAGATTACTAAAAATAACCTATAGAGTCAATACATAACACGTATCATATTTTATATTACGATCAGTCGGAACACAACCTTCCATTTATCAGTCTACTGGCATTTATGGGGGTTCATAGAGATGTCCCCACTACGCGTGATC